AGTCTCCGCTATCCCAGCACGATCATTCACCTTGGCTGCTTCCCGCTCCCGCTGCTGGGCCTTGCGCTCCTCCCTCAGCTGCTCTGCTCGAGCCAGCGCCTCCTTCCTCTTCGCTGTGAATGCCGCGATCTCGGCACTGCGCTCCTCCGCCGTCTTCCCCATCACCCCGAACGAGCTCCTCCTTGATGCCGAGCTCATGCTGACCTTTGTGCTCCTGACAGTGTGCTCCTGCTCGACGACCAGTGCTCACAGCAGCGTCTTCAACAGTCCTCCTCCTCTGTCTCTCTCTCTGTCTCTGTCTCTCTCGCTCTCCTCCTCCTCCTCTCCTCCTCAAGCTCGTCCCGCCTTATCTGACTGCAGTGGCGGGCGGCATTTCCTTGACGGGTAACCCTCATCCCCTCCTCGACCCAGAAAGCAAAGTCAGAACAAACCCAACCAGGTACGAATACGATGAGAGGGAGAGGGAGAGGGAGAGGGAGAGGGAGAGGGAGAGGGAGAGGGAGAGGGAGAGGGAGGAGGGAGGAGGGAGGAGGGAGGAGGGAGGAGGGAGGAGGGAGGAGGGAGGAGGGAGGAGGGAGGAGGGAGGAGAAAACACTATGAAGAAGGGAGTAGGAAAAGCAGAGGGAGGGGAGGGACACAAGTTGACACCTTTCTATGATGTCATGGGTCCCATCAGTCGAGCCATCGTTGACAACGATGAGCTGCTTGCACTCGTTACTTCCTTCTCCCCACACCAGCGCTGAGCTCAACGACTCGCCTCGAAGTCTCCCAAAGTTTGTCTCCGGATGCTGGCGATCGCTTCCTCCAAGAAGTCTTCTGCATTGCGCGCAGGCATGACAACTGAGACAGATAGAACACCTCCATTCGCATCCTTTCCATCCTCATCACACGCTGTTGGCTCTTGGTTGCATCTCTTCTTCCGAAGGTACAGTCCGCCTACATGTACGCTCCGAACGTCTGTGACGAGATATCTCTCTTCATTCATCTCAAAATCCTTGTCAAGAAGCAATCTCAGACTCTCCGTCCCGCAATCTTGCTGCAGCAAGCTCTTGATGTCACAATCCCTGTCTTTCATCTGCTCTGATTGATGACGATGTTGATTTTGTTGACGATGCTGTTGTTCATCATGTTGTTGATGATCGTGATGACGACGACGATGTTGTTGTGGATCATCCTGATCAATCTCGACCTCCACACATCTGTCATACACCGGGTTCGAGTAGATGCTCTGCACTCTGTTGATGGTGACAACTACCATACATCTCCTTGCACATGCCCCCCTTACCTCTTCGACAACCTTCCCCTGTTCCTGACTTCCTTTCTGTCTCTCATACCACAACGTGAAGCCCTCCTTGTAGATCTTGTTCCCGTTTACCTCCAGCCGGTTTGGATGACCAATGTCGTACAAATCTCCACATTCGGCAAACATCTTCATCATCTCCAGAAGCTGAAAGCACAAGAAAGATTCACAAAGTCACACTGACAGCAAACTTCAAGTTTTTCTGCTCACCATCTCCCTCCTGTACAAAGTCCCGCAGAGATCAAAGGGGTAGTTCCAATCATGGCTACCGTCTCCTCCTCGAAACCAAACAAGGTCCGGCCCGAGTCCGAAGAGCCTGAGGGGGCAGCGATGTCAGAGGAAGGACGAGGAGGAGGCGAAGAATGGCAGAGCGGGGGGCGAGAAGTCGGAGAGAGGAAGGGTAGTCCGGAGGGAAGGGTAGTCCGGAGGAGGAGGTACGAGGGGAAGGGGAGGAGGAGGAGGACGAGTGAAGCTGCCTGGGTTGTCTCTGTCCCCTGCTAGCAGGATGGCAGAAGCTCAGGCCGGGGTGCAGGCGCAAGTGAACGCAAGACATGCTGCTGTTGACGTCCAGGGCCCTTACGGCATGCGCAAGAGGGAGAGAGGAGCAGAAGAGCACGTCGTCCACTCCGAACATGACCGAGCTTCGTGCTCCATGGAGGATTCCCCGAAGCTGCAGGAGGCAGACGGTGAGCTGGGGACGGGAGGCTTCCTGCTCACCTGCTGTTCGAAGCTCTCCTCCTCTACGAACTTCGCTCGAGGATGCGCACGCTGCACTTGCTCGTACCCTTCCCTGTACTCCTCCTCCACCTTGACGAGGACCGTAATGTCCAGTTCGACCCCAGCTGCGTGCTTGACGAGGGTGCGGAGGTACTCGCTGAGCTGGAAGGGACGAGACTTGCTGAAGACGACGACGGAGACGGACGCCATGGCAGGGAGGAGGCGATGCTTGCGGTGGAAGAGGAGAGGGAGGGAAGGGGGAGAGGGGGGGAGAGGGGGGGAGGGGGGGAGGGGAGGGAGTGGGGGTGGGGTGGGGAGGGGGG